ATTCTTTCGTAAAATAATTTTACACGTAAATCTAAAATTTTTCCATATTAACCACACATTTTTTAAAGAAATTACTATTTCAAAATATATCTTACTCTGAAGAAACTCGAATAGGGGCTTTGTTAAGTAAAGATGACAAAATATCATCTCACATCCAGTTCTTTCTCGTCCACCTCTCAAAATATTTTAATTCCCACATAGCCTACCGAGCCGCTACTATCCTTGTAGCTGTGATGGTAGGAAGGTAAGAATCAATTAAAGTAAAACTGAATTTAGCGTCCGTTTGGTCTCCATTATTTCAAATTATAACAAGATGAATAATAATATTTTGGAGAATACGTGATTAAAAAGAAAGGAAAAGTTTTAGGTTTATGTGTAATGTTATTTTAGTAAAAAATATGTGATTGATAAGAATGTAGAGAAAATGAATTATAACGAGAAAGGTAATTAGCGTTTAATGTCTCCACCTTTCATTATTATTGTGGAAAACATCACCACCTTTTATTTTTTGACATTTTCACTCTTATTTCCACGTTTCATTGCACAAAATATCATTTTCATATATTTTTTCAATTAAAATTTTTTAAATGACGAATATGTCATTCTTTTTAAATAAAAAGAAAAAGAAAAAACTAATTACAATCATACTTCCAATTTTTTTTTTGAAAAGTGCAAATTAGTCTCAAATAAATTATTAAAAGATTAATCAATACACAATGTCTCTATCTTTCACTGTTTTTACGAAAAAACGTATATACCTTTCATTTACACCTTTTGTGCAAATCATCATCTCCATCCATTTTCATTCAATTTTTCAATAAAGAACTGTGAAATAATGAATACACATCCTATTTAAATAAAAAAAAATATTTTTAATATCTAATTCTTTAACAATTTATTTGTGACTCGATTACACTTTTTATTTTATTTTTAATTTTTAAATAAATTTAATTGGGACTTGTTTTAAAAAAATTAAATTTTTAATAATTTATTGGGGATTAGTTTGCACTTTTCAAAAAAAAATTTGGGACTATGGTTGCAATTAATTCTTTAGTATTTTCTTTTTGTTTAAATAAGAGGGTACATTCATCATTTCATAACTTTTTATTGAAAAATTGGATGAAAATGGATATAAATGATGGTTTGCACAATTAAATGTGTAATTAAGTATGAAAATATCAAAAAATTAAAAGGTATGGGAGTTTTTTTTTTTTGCAATAATAGTGAAATGCGTGGACATTATGTGCTAATTACCCTTTTGACAATTTATTTGACTCATATGCACTTTCAAAAAAAAAAAAAAATGGGATTATGATTACAATTGTTTTTTCTTTTTCCTTTTGTTTTATTCAAAGAGAATGGTATATTCGCCATTTCACAGTTTTTAATTAAAAAATGGATGAAAATTTCCTTTTACGTAATGAATTGTGGAAATAAGAATGAAAATATCAAAAAATAAAAGATGAGAATGTTTTCACAATATGTGCTAATTACCTTAACGATAGATAATGGGGCAAACAGTGGCTTAAGAAACTCTTCGCAATTTTAGAAAGGAAACAAAAAAGAAAATAATAGAGTAATGAGTACATAACGTCCCCACCTTTTACTGTTATTGTGGAAAATGTCATTACCTTTCATTTTTTTTTTGGCATTTTCACCCTTATTTTCATCTTTCATTGCCCAAAAGGTTATTTTTATCTATTTTCTCAATTAAAAATTGCGAAATGATAAAAATACATTCCCCTTTAAATAAAACAAAAGGAAAAAGAAAAAACTAATTGCAAATATAGTCCTAACTTCTAATTACAAATCTAGTCCTAACTTTTTTGAAAAAGGTAAATGAGTCCCAAATAAATTATTAAAAGGGTAATTAGAACACAATGTCTATATATTTCACTGTTATTGCAAAAATGTCCCTACCTTTTTTTGGCATTTTCTCCCTTAATTATGCATTTGATAGCTCAAAACATCATTTTTATCCATTTTCATCCAATTTTTCAATAAAAAATAATGAAATGATGAATATTCCCTCATATTTAAATAAAAAAGTTA